ACACCTGGGGACACCTGGGGACACCTGGAGACACACCTGGGGACACCTGGGGACACCCGGGGACACCTGGAGACACACCTGGGGACACCCGGGGACACCTGGGGACACCCGGGGACACCTGGAGACACACCTGGGGACACCTGGGGACACCCGGGGACACCTGGCGACACCTGGGGACACCTGGAGACACACCTGGGGACACCTGGGGACACCTGGAGACACACCTGGGGACACCCGGGGACACACCTGGGGACAGCCGTGCCACCGATCCCCGACACCTGTGCCACCGCCTGGCCGTCTGCGCCACCTGGGGACAACTGTGTCCCAGGCTCACCTGTGTCCTTCTGTTCCCGCTGTCCCCCTGTCCCTCTGTCCTGCCCCTGTCCCCCTGTCCCCGCAGGATCCGCCCCTTGTCCCCCGACAGCTCCGCCTTTCCCTTCACGGCGGCCGCGGGGGTCCCGGCGCTGGAGCTCGGCTTTGATGAGGTGCGGCCCGCGAGTGTCCCCGAGTGTCCCCGCACCGCCGCCGCCGTGTCCCCATGTCCCCCGTGTCCCCGCAGGCCGCGGGTGGCTCCCGCGCGGCGCTGGGGACCCCCGAGGACACGCTGGCCCGGCTCGGGGCGCGGCTGCGGGGCCGGCTGCCCGCGGTGGCCCGCGCGGTGGCCGCGGTGGCCGCGCAGCTCCTGCTCCGCCTGGGCCACGACCCCCGGCTGCCGCTGGACCCCGGCGCGCTCGGGGACGCGCTGGTGCGGCAGCTGGCCCCGCTGCAGGTCAGCGCAAACCAGAGCAAACCAGTACAGACCAGTACAAACCAGTACAAACCGGCGCAGGCGGGATGGCGCTGCGGGGGCGCTGAGGGGCGGAGGGACACCGGGGGACACTGGGAGGGCACCGGGGGACACCGGGGGACACTGGGAGGGCACCGGGGGACACTGGGAGGACACTGGGAGGGCTTTGTCGGGACGCTTTCAGTCAGACCAGTCCATCCCAGTCCATCCCAGTCCATTCCCAGTCCATCCCAGTCCCTCCCAGTTCATTCCCAGTCTATTCCTAGTCCATCCTAGTCCATTCCCAGTCCATCCTAGTCCATTCCCAGTCCCTCCCAGTCCATTCCCAGTCCCTCCCAGTCCATCCCAGTCCCTCCCAGTCCATCCCAGTCCCCCCCAGTCCGACCCGTTCCGCGGGCAGGCGCGGGCTCTGTCGCTGCAGTGCCTCTCCTCGGCGCGGGGGGGCGTGGTGCGCGCGGCGGCCTCGCTCCGTCGCGACATGTCGGGATCGGACAGCTCCAACGAGCGCCTCAACCGCGGCTTCAACGCGCGCCTCATGGCCGTGAGTGTCCCCGTGTCACCCGCCTGTCACCCGTGTCACCCGTCTGTCACCTCCTGTCACCCGCCTGTCACCTCCTGTCACCC